GCCGCCATTACCAGCTCCTTGGGCGGCTTCTCCGGGGTCTTCCCGAACAGGCCCATCACCGCCCTGCGTGTTCCGGCCCTTCCGGGTTTCTGTCCCCTCCTCCACCGCGTCAGCAAGGGGCGGGGAGATTCGCGGCCCTTCCCTTCCCTTCCTTCCTTCCGCCCGAGGGTCACGTGGCCGCTGCGGCGCGTGCGCAGCCCGCTGGGTGGGGAAAGAAATAACGCCGGACGCTTCTTGAGCTCGCCGCTAGGGGTGGGCAGGACGCGGCACTGCGCATGCGCACTGGCACAGAGCGGGCATTTAACCCTTTAAGTGCAGCTGGTTGTACAGTCACAGAGGGAGCGTCACAGAAGCGGGCAGGGGGTTGTTTAACCCCTTCATGCCCTGGCTGCTGCAGATGCTGGCAGGGGCCCGGGGCGTCCCCACCCAGCCCCTCTCCTGGCGGCGGAGAGGCCAGGGCCAGAGGGACACATGGGGGCACTGCACGCAGGCCAAGGGGACCCAGGCGAGGCCCAGCTGCGACCTCACAAAGCGTCCCCGGGGGCTGCAAAACATGGCCTTCGCCATGGGGAGGTGGGGAGCACAGTGTAAGATCATCAGTGCAGTAAAGCAGGGTTACCAATCCAAGAAAAAAAATACTGCAAACTTTTTTACTATGGTTTTACAGTCAAACCTTTTTACTCTGGTTGATGTCAAATCCCTAAATTTGAACTCAGCCCTTTTAACTGGGATCAGGCAGGAGTTACATTAAGTAAGACATATATCAGTGAAAATGTGTGTCAGTAAAAAAGAGCTTGGCTGTCAGTAAAAAGCTTTCAGAATGAAAGTAAAAAAAAATTGTGTTGACAACCCTGCCACCCCCTAAATAGTATAGCTCTGTGCTTGTAGTGATCTGTCATACACGTGAACTTTTACCACAAGCAAATATCAGAATTTGGGTAATGGCTTTAAACCTACTACCAGGGTTGAATCCCGAATTTTTCTTCCTCTTCTTCCCTGCACCACTGTTTGACATTGTCCTGTGGTGCCTACTTTTATGACAGTCTTTAGTTGCAGATACGGTCTATTAGCAGTAACTGGACCACTCATGGAAAGAAAAGAGAAAATGTTCTTGTGTACACAGCACCATAACAGTTCCCATAAAAGACATCATACTAGGTTCAATGCAGGTGGACGTTAGCATAACACAACTAAAGGGAGCGGAGTGTTGTTATTTTTGCCCAAAGACACTCCCGCACCTGTGTTTTCAGTCTTGCAAAATTCCCTTTTGACAACAAAGTACCTGTGGGAAGCAAGTAAAATACCAGTATTTACACTCCCGTACATCATCACGCTGTGTGGGAACTAGTTTATATTCCACCCCCCTTCCAACAGAATGGATCAAATTATTCCCCTGGTTGCACAGATGCAAGTCCCCTGGGATAAGCCAAGCGGCACCAGTTTAAATTCAAGCTGAATTGGTGCCATGCTTTTGATGGAATACAGGTAGGGCAGATAGCAGTCTGGCTCCTTTCTCTGGGACTAGGAAAGGCTTATGGGGCAAGATCTTCCACTATACTCCAGCTGCTTTATGCCACATAAAAGCATGGGACAATATACTCCTCAACTGAAGACCGAGGAGTAGACAGTAGAACGGTTCCAAAGCCGTCTTTGAAAGCTATGATTAGGGGACAAACCCCCATGGCAGATCGGCACACAGCCCTGCAGATTCCAGGCAGTGCTGGCTATAGGGGGGGGCCGCTGAATTTTAGACAGGGCCTCTCCAGGCCCCAGAAATGATTTAAGAGGTGCTATAGCCATCCCTGTAATCTCAACCGGAGAACAGCCAAGAAAATTAAAAATTCCTAACAAGATATTGACTGGATTTGGTTTTGGTCACATCACCGTCAGAATTTGGTCTTAGCTACAGTGTGCACACTGAGTTGGGATAAAGAAAAGTAATTGTTTGGGGAGCCTATAGCCATGTAGAGTTCTTATGGATGGAGAGACAATAGTAGCCATCACCCTACCTTGACTTTCTTGTATAGGTTTAATTTGGATTGAACAATGCAGAGCACTTTTCAGCTAGATACTTCAATGACCTTTAAGAGTCATGGCTAGGACTGGTCCCATTATGGGGAAAACTGAGGCACAGAAGGTTGAAAATGATTTGTTTGAGGTCAAACAGAAGAGCTGGGACCTGGGTTTTCTGATGCCCAGGGCTCCACTCTGACACCTAAATTAGAAGTAAAGCTCTCATTTTTTCCCTCAAATAATATTTGCACAAGCGGGCCAATCATACTAACCTATTTTCTGTTTGTTGTAATAGCCAAAAGTTGCATTACTTTAGCAGGTAAATTGCGTCTACGTATCTCACAGGCTGCTGTAATAACTGGCCCTGTAATAACAGGCTGCTGTTGTACTGCTGTAATAACTGCCCCCCTTATGTATGAAATAGAATGGCAATAGTTAAGACTCTTTTGGACTCGTTTATATAGTGCTTGTTCACAGGAAAGGAAGAGATGGTGGTGGTAGAATAGATGTTTTACCAGAGTGACAGGCCCATTACTCTAAGTAGCAGAAAGTGTGAGGCAGCCATGAAGGTCATCCCAACTCAGTGCAATAAAACTATTAGACTACACCATCACATATTGTGTACATGCCACATGTATTATCAGAACAACTACTCCAAAAGGTTTTGAAGAGTTAACACTAGTATAGTGATCACTTTTGTATTCACTTTGAAAAGGAGTTCAAAATCAAACCTTTTACTTGCACATTACAGTGGTTTCTCTGCTTAGACTGCCATAAGTATGCCGATTGCTGTGGGTTTGAAGCAGATTAGGAAGTTGGTTTAAGCAATTTATTTCGCACAGGCTAGCAAGCAGACAGATGGAAAAAATACTTTCGCTACCACTCACAACCTAGATACCTACAGAGGAAAGGATCATTATCTCATTACCATGAATCATATGAATCCAACTCCATTTCTGTAGCTATGTCCTCTGTGCCTCTCCTCCTAACTACTCAAACAGCAATTGCTTAATTTCATTTACCAAACAGAAACAGACTGGTATGTGGTGTTTCATGAGATTCTTATTTGTGTTGCAGTGTAGTGCATGTTTGCTTGATATCCATGTACAAGGACATATGCTTTTCTAGTGCTAATTTAGTAAGTTTGATATTGTTTTCATTACACCAGAACCATAGAAAAGTCAGGCTGGAAGAGACCTCCAGAGATCATCTAGGCCAAACCCCCTGCCTGAGGCAGGATCATCCCTATCCAAACCATCCTATACAAATACTCTAAACTCATCATAAAGCTATCATCAACCCTGATACAAGATGCAACATAACACCCTAACCTGCCACAGGGAAAGCAGGGGGACCATGGCAGCCAATGTCCTGCTTCTAAAAACACTTGTTAATATAAGACCAAGAAACTAGCCAGTCTCCTATGTATTTTCACCCAGGTGTTTCTAGGCCCCCCATTTTCAAATTGCAGAGGCCTCAATTTAGAGCAACAGCCCTATTCTAGTTCAACTTGGAATGTCCTGAAACCACCTGGACTTAGATGCTTCCTTGTGTTTAATCACAAACCCGAGTTCTTTACTGAATCAGGAATTAAAATACAAACGCTCTGAATTGCCAAAGTAACTCCTTTACCCCAACCAGGGCACTCCTCCACAAGACCAGTGCCAGAATTACAAGTATGTAGATGTACGAACTAGAGGAAAGGGAAAATATCTGAGGAAATACATCCTAGCAAGAAAAACAGTTACTGTCATCCCCTGTTGCTATCAGTCCCTCACTATAACAGTTATTGTTTCAAGACTGGGAATAGAAATGAGGAAAAAGTAGACATCATTAAAAAAGGTTCCCTGCCCCCAATAAATATTCTAGTATCTGCATTATCCACCAGGCAAACTACTTTCTAGCATTAAAACTTATCCATTTTATAAATTTGATTTCCTACACAAAAAACACCATTAAATAAGCCATTAGCTAATGAACACCCAAATTCACTGTAAATGGTGCTTGGAAGGAAACGAGATGGAGAGCATCCAAAAGGATCTGCATCCACATTCCCCATCATTCACCTCTGCTTAATTGCCACCATCCTATGTACAAGGCTATGAACCAGAGAACAAGCAAAACAAATACAGGTAATTTGCTTTTATAACATCTATTATGGCAGGTAGAAGGTAAACTTTGCAGAACATAATTTGCTTTTATAACATCTATTATGGCAGGGAGAAGGGAAACTTTGCAGAAACCTTTACATTCTAACCCTTTCTTCTTTTTACACGTGCTCATAAAATTTTCCCAAGCAATTACCTTTTGCGCTGAAAAATTTCCATACTAGATTTTCAGCTAGATGATTTTGAAGAATATCATTCAAATATCTCCATCTGTTCTCTGCATCACAAAGGTATAGAACATATTTTCTCATGGTATTAAAAACAGCCATCTCTCTTCCCCCAGGAAATGACTGGACTTTGTCATTTCATACTTGGTATTTAAACAACAGTATCATAAAAGCTGCTTTAGTTGTTAAGGGATAGCACTCTGCCCTGTAGCCATAGCAGTACTTATACTAAACTCCACAGCAGTACTTATACTAAACTCCACAGCTTCTACACTTTTCGTGACTGTCCATAGAAGAAAGGTCCTAAGGGGAGACAGGTTGAAGGGAAGATTTCCCATTAACAAAGTAGTTGGTAAAGAAAATCAGAGAATCACTGGGTTAAGCAGAAGTGCACACAAACACAAAACATGGGCTTAGAAATGCTTACAAATGAGAACACTTCAAGCCAGGGACATGCTGTCTTCCTTTGCTTGGCAAGTGCCTAACATACTTTGGGAGCCACTGCAATAATAAAACGAATTCCAGCAACACCATAAAAATGATGCATGGGACTTGCACACACCTGAAACAATCATTTAAATGGTTTGGAATGAGATAACCAGTTGCACTAAATGGATTTTTGCATTGCTTCCGTATACAACAGAGACAAAAATTGTATTACGTTTTTATTTGTCTTCACAGATAAATCAAACTGGCAAGACATCTGCAACCATACACAGAGGATATTTATCAAAACAATTAACATTACAAACCTGCAGCCTTCTCCTTTTAAAATAATTTATTTCAAGGATTTGTTTTTAAATGGTACTGTCATAGAACATACATTATTCAACAGAGGTGTGCTGAACAGACTCTAAAATAAGAAACACTTAAAAATTAAGCAATTACCGCGGGTTAGAATTCCAATGTTCACCCAACATTCTAACTTGTAAACTTTTGCTGGAATATGCTTTTGTTTTAGGCTTGATTTTTGTGCTTACAAAAATCAGCAGTAAGTTTCCAAACGTTGTAAAGAAAAAAATTATTGTACAATAAGTATGCATCCAGTTTCAACATACAAGGCAACCAAATGATTCTGTCATTAACATTAGCATCATGTATATTTTCGTTCACTGCACTAACATTTAAACTAAAACTCCAAACCACAAAATCTTTAAGTGACTAACATTTAAAAGGCAAGCAGTAATATACTGAAAGCTTACAAAGGACATTAGCACACAGCTAAGATGGGATCTCATTTGACAAAGGCTGCTGATGTGTGTACGGCTGCTTTTTCTTATAAGAAGCCCACCTACAAACTGGGCAGCAGTGTCGCCCCCCAGCTAGCCACATCACAATGCAATTCTGATGAAACACATGGCCACACGGTAAACCCATGAGGAGACATCCATTTTCAAAATTCTCTAGACATACAACGCATTCTGTACAGTGCAACATGTTGGAGGGCCAAGCTGACCAATCTGGCTCCATGTTTTCTGTAGAGCTACATGACCCATATGACCGAGCTTTCCTTTCATATGGCTCGTTAGGACAATATTTCTTGGCACATGAGCAGGTGTCAGCATTGCACCGAGGCTTTCCTTCACTGGGATTGTGAACTGTGCTTAGCTCGTCGTCCTCAGAGGCTTCCTTTTCACTACTGAAGACCTCTTTGCTTTCACTCTCAGAGTCACTTTCACTTTCTGGAGACGCTTCCAACATCTCCTCTTCAGAATGGATGCCAAGGCATTTAAACCTCCACATGGGTAAGTTTTTTATATAATCTGTGGGTATTAGGGGGTGAAGCCAGAGATCAGGGAAAGCTAAGCGCTCTAAGAACAAATCTGGGTCTTCATCCCAATCTGATTCAAAGGGGAATTGTTGAAAAGAAGCAATGGGGTGGAACAAGTAACTGGTATACCAGTCCCACAGGCTTGACAGCCATTCCAAATTGTTGGCATTGACTTCGTCGTTGTTGTTATTGCGTCTTCTTTTTTTCTCAAAGTAATCTATTAGTAAACCATGACCAAGGTAAGTGCTGAGGAATAGGGCTGGGTGTGATGAGTAGAACATCCAGTCAGCTCTTACCCACGAAGCCAGAGTAGTTGTATTAGAATACCTGAACAGTTTTAAACTATACTCATAAAAGCTATCTAGGTAAGGTAGCTGCAAAAAACCCAACACAGGGAGCCAGGAAATAATTAATAAAGAATTATACGTCCCTAAAGTGCTTATAAGAACCACAAAGCGCTTTATGGTAGCACCCTGTGTGATAAACAAGTCCATCCAAGCCATCAGATTAACCAAAACTAAGCTCAACACAAATAAATCATTAACTTCAGGCTGCAGTGAGCGCAAGAATGTATCCATGGCACGCAGAGATATAAATTCACCAGTGTTATTCCCATATCTGTAAATTCCCTCCGGAGTTCTAAGCACATAAGATGGGGTCTTGTAGATCCCAATTTCTGTCATATAACTTTTGTTGTCCCAGTTTTCTACATTCACAAAAATAAACTCAACTCTTCCAGTAAACTTTACACTTAGTGCAGAGAAGAATGCTGGAGGCTGGTCAAGGTTAGCAAACAAGTATATTTTCACTCGATACTGGTCACTTTTGTTCCACTCTTCCTTTAAATGTTCCGAGTTGTAGATGGTTTTAATGCGAGAAGCTGCATGTGCTGTGATCCATTTGAAAATGTGCTCCACTTCAATTCTGCGCCCACTGTATTCTTTCAGCATCACTTTTCCCTTGGAGGTGCTGGTTTGTGGGACTGACATAATTAATGTGGATCTCACCCAGCCTCTTCTCTTGCAGTATCTACAAAAGAAAGCAGCAAGTAAGATTACAGTTTCATATTTCTACAATACCAATCCTCAGATGTTCAATGGAAGCCTGGTTGAAAGAGCTTTGCAGCTCTAATAATAAACTCAGAGAAGTCAGTGGGAAACAAGAGTACTCTATATCAATGGAAGAAGTAAGCATCTACTGATATACTACTATGCTGCCTAAAAGGACATGAATTTGTAAAACCTTGGAAGGGAAGAGTGCTAATTACAAGTTTATTATACTCACTGGGGTCAGGTAATACAAAGATCAGGGCTCTTATGGCAAGATTTCAATTCATTACAGTGGAAAGCTTTAATTACAGACACTGTTAAGTTTCTAGCCCTTCCAGTTGTGAAGATAACCTTTACTACATAAACTGCTTCAGCAATTCTTTCCTGAGTCTGCAGACTAACCTCTCCAGTGCTTCTGTTATTCATAGTTTTGTCAAGCAGTGGCAGAGTGAAATTAGCAAGGCTCTAGTCTGTTTTAGGGCTGCTTTTAAAAACCCTATGGAGGCCACGAAACAGACAAGAATGTTAATTTCACACTCTGGCTAGTTGGCAAAGCCATGAGTACAAGGAGGCAGAAACTGCAGCCATTCAGAAGAGTGAGATAATTAAAAAGAAGCTGGCAGCAGACTGGGAGAAAAGCAGGGGCAATCTGCCAGGAAGTTCTGGCTGAAGGTGTAGGAGACAATCCGACTTTACTTTCCAGCAGGCTGGGACAAGGCAAGAGATTTGGTCTTTAAGCGCATATCTGGAAAGTCACAGATTAAAAGGGGCTGAACTCCCAGTTTGGATCTAATGACAGCACTCTAGAAGTCCTAGATCCTTTCCTGTTTCCAGCATCTGCAGGACTTGTCTGAACAAAGTGTTGTTTCTGAGACTTCCTCCTATTACTTAATTTAGTTTTTCAGGTAGCAGGTGTCTGGTAAGTTTTTCAAGACCCATCTTCAAATATAACACAAGCTATGAACAGTCAGACAACAAGCTGTCCCTTTCCAAACACTACAAGTCATGCAATGGGGTAAGAGCAGTCATAAATTCACCAGCCAAAGAATCTTGTTTCCATCACATGGATCATTTTTTTGTATCTTTTTTTAACTCCCCAAGTAAGAAAATAAGATTGCTTCCATCAAAAAGGCAACATTATTATTTTTGGAAAGAGCCTTGGCATATTATGCCATTAGTAGAAGACGACTTAATTGATGGCAGCACTGGGTACTCTCAGTGGGAAATAGCAGCATCCTGATGAAAATTATTCATGAGCCTTCACACTTAGCAAGACAAAGAAAAATCCAAACTAATAATTGGAAACAGTTGTATATGAATTTAGATTTTATTTAAAAGACCATTTTTGAGTAGGGCATGAAGACTAGTTAGGAATTCCACACTCTGGAATGTGCTATATTTTAAGATGCTCCAAGTTTAAAAAAAGTAAAAAAGTCACATGTTAGTTTGCATAAGTACATTCAGGCTAAGAATTTATTAGTGTAATTCATGTTATACCTCTGTAGATATTTAGGATTCAGACTACAAAATGATCATGCACACGTGACACATTGTCACTGGAGTTCAAGGCAAGTTTGCCTGTGACACGATGTGGCCACAACTTATGGATTTTATTGGTTTTACAACAGCGCAGAAGTCACTATTGTGGAAGCAGCTGTAACAATTGCTTTCAATTGTCTGTTTTTTGATCGCATGTAAATGGAAATAAAAGCATCCTTTACATCTAGGAGCTGTGGTTACTTTCTGCCTATTTTCCCCACAGGAAAGCATGTTGTCAAAGGGCGTGCTCCTGTTTACATATGGGACTACACACATTCCTCAGGCTGGGAGGAAACAACATCCTGCATGCACTCTCACAGCAGTATACTACTCGCGAGGATCAGAGTAAGTTAAAATGCTGCAGCCACCTAACATACATTCCACCTTTTCAGACCAAACCAAAGATTCTCGTGACCAGTACATTTCTCAAACAGGTGTAAATCAACCTTGATGGAAGCAAGTGCAATTTTCATTAACTTTAGAAATGACTGAAAAGTGAACATATTCACTTAGCTGTCTCTTTCCATTGCTGTATTATATTCTACCATGGCCTAAACATATGCTTATCTGATACTTTGAGAAGCCATGCTTTTATGGGTGATGGATGTCCATACATAATGGAATGGATTTTTTTTTTAACAGACCAGTATTCTTCCACCTGTAAGAACATTAGAAATCCCATACTGGGTCAGATTATAGGTCCAGCTACCCCAGTATCCTCTTCCTCTCTTCCACAATGGCAGAGTAGGGATGCTAAGGGAATGGATGCACTGTGATTAAGGGTGGATGTAATCCACAGGTCCTGCGCTCCATGCTGCCCACAAAGTCCACAGATATTGCTCACAGTCACAGGAAATCAAGAAGTTAAAACCAAGGTTGACAGGGAGAGCAAAATAAGATGTTACCTGCAGCACGTTACTTGCTCAGTACTGTTGCAAATGGGCCAGTGAAAAATGGGGACCCCAGGACAGACTTTAATGGAGATAAACAGTAGCCTTTATCATGGCTAACTTTACAGCAGAAGGCTTTACAGCAAGAATACCACTGTGCTAAGACATCCTAGGGACTTAAATAATCCTTTAAAGAATATACCTGGGATCACTGGAGCAGTTAAAAGTGCCCGTACGTATGCCAAACCTTGACACTTTCTTCACCATTTTTTCCCAATGGACTTTACCCACCAGAGGGCTTCTGTCATTTGCTATGACCTATTGTTAAAAAGAAGAAAGAAGCTTTAGTGTCAGAAACAGAAATCATCTGTTCTTCTAGAACTGACGTTTACTTGTGTCCAAACAGATCCCTTTTTATCCTCAATGTTGCGTTCCCCCACCCCGAGAAAATAAAGAGTATTGTTGTAATATTTTGTCTATCCCTAGCTGCAAAATTAGATTTGACAAGTGAAGCTGTAATATTGATAATAAGAATATTACGGTTACTGCCAAGAAAAAAGCACATCAAGGACATGCTTATTAATAATTAGTTGCTAAAATACCAAACTCCTAATGCTCTACAGAAGGTTTAGGTGGGGAAAGAAGTCCATAAAATGCAATCAAGGTACAAAAAAAAAGGTGGCTTTTTACTACACTGATGTTCATCATACTTTACCTCTTCCCCATAAAAAAGTAAAACCTCCCCAAATAAATTGACTCAGGTCAGTTTAAATTATTCTTCTCCAGATCAGCCACAAAGATGACCATTTGCAACAGCTTGCAAAGGACACAATGTTCTGTAGATACTGCCACAAACATGGCTCTCAACTGCTAGTGACTCGTTCCATGATATTAGGTAAGTCAGTCCCTGTCTCAGCTTCCCCTCTGCCACGTGAGAATTATAATTCATAGTGATGTTTTATTTGGAGGTCAGATCAACTTAGATGAAAGGGCTGCAAGTACAAATTATTAAACATTTGCCATCTGAATTGTATACACAACAGTCTACAAGGAGAAAAATGCTTGTCTGTTGCTGACAGGTAATTTTGAATGACCCGACCAATCACGCGTCAAGCAATGAGCTGTAGCAGTTTCACCATTCTGCTTATTTTAGAAATGCCTTACATGCTTCTACAAGCAGACTCGTTACCACTTTAAAGCATTTGCCGGACTTCACTTTGAAACTGCCATTTGTCAGGTGTCCATGGTGGAGGTTTCACTGTGTATAATAAGCAGCTTACCTAAACAACTGGACATTTCAGTCTTCCTGCAAAAACTGCTGTCTCCACCATGATTCGCCAATTATGTTGCGTGTGCAGGGTGAGAAGTAAAGGCCCAAATATACCTGGCCCCTAGAAAAAGTTATCCATTTCTGTGTACCCCAATCGAGGGTACATTTAGAAACTAAAAGTAGCAAGAAAGATTAAAATTGTAAGACATTTTATACAAGGAACTCCAGATAAACTAAGAGGTTGTACAATCCCTCACAAATAGAAGCTATGATTGTCTAAATAGAACTTGACTGAAACATGTAGCCAAGAATCTCTCACAATATACATATGGGTGAAATTTCTCTCTTCATCCTGGCATAGCTACAAAGACTGCTGCCAAGAATATTAACACCCAGCTCCCCTATAGAAGATGGGAGTGAATCAGGAACACAAGTGTGGTGGATCAGTTGCAAATTTAAAACATTTTGGAACAGCTTGCTGAGTTACTGGAACTTCCTTCTCCTATGAGATAAAAAAACAAACCCTTAAAATATCACTAGTGATTTAAACTTGCCCCTTTAATAACCAGCTCAACAAGCAAACACCAGAAAGGCACCTTGAAACATTTGCATTCTTACTCCTGAAGTTACTAGAAATGATAAAATTAGAGCAACTTAGATGCTAGGGTCGGAAGGGACCTCAGTAGATCGGCAAGTCCGACCCCCTGCCCTGGGCAGGAAGGAGTGCTGGAGTCAGGTGACCCCAGCCAGATGCCTATCCAGCCTTCTCTTAAAGAGGCCTTAGACCAGGGGCGGGCAATTATTTTGGGTGGAGGGCCACTTACTGAGTTTTGGCAAGCCATCGGGGGCCACATCACAGGCAGCCCAGGGCAGATAAATATTAATTTTCTAAATTTTTTAGGGGCCCCATGGGCCGGATAGAATGGCCTGGTGGGCCGCATTTTGCCCACCCCTGCCTTAGACATTAGTAAAGAGGACTTAAAAGGTAAGGGAGGGCTGTACATAAATGGGTCCTTTGTCATAAACACACTCCAGGGCTAGGGACAGACATTACACATACACCAGTTTAAGTGACTAGAAACTGGTTTAAACCTGTAACAGAACAGATGTTCAGTGCACAAAAACCAGATTCAAAATGGCTGAAACTGGTTTAAGATAAACCTGGCTGAATGTAGTATCAGACTTAACTGATCTCGGTCAAACTGGTTTATGCAATGTCTGTCCCAGACCCCTTCCTGGTTTAACTTAAACCGGAGTCCCCCAGCATCCCAGATGCTTTGCAGCCCTGTGCTGTGCTGTCTGCTCCAGAGAACAGGGCTGGCCCTGCCCCTTTGCTCCCTAGCTGGAGCTCCGCACAGCAGCGTCTGCCTGGCTTCCTCCTGCACCCTCCCCCCTGCCTTGTTGCTCAAGCAGGACTCTCCCTTTCCCTCCCCCTCATCTCCCACAGCACAAACCCCAGCCCCATGGACATTAGGCATGTGGTATGCTAGCTACTGCTGAGAGGTGTCTGTGTTTGTGCCTCCCATTTCATTGGGACAGGCAAACAGAACAGTGTCTGCTTAGGGCTTTTTGGAGCTAATCAGCAGGTCAGCTACTAATGTTCCTCCGCTCCTTCCTTGGAAAAAGCTGTTTAAGAAGAGCTTGAACTAATGAGAGAGGCTTTTGTTTTGTTGATAGGTTGATAAACGCTGCTTATCAGCCCCCTGCTGGCTCCCTCACCTGGCAGGTTTGCAGACAGTATGAAGAAACAGGGAGGGAGACTGAAACCTCATTACCAACAGATGCATGCGCTGCACACCCCCCCTTTGCCTCAGAGTCCAGGCTGGGGTCTGGCAACACTCCCGCCCCTTGAGCAGTGAGCAGGGAAAAGCCTGGGACAATGCAGGCAGGGTGGGGGTTTACACCTTTCCCTAATCAGAGCGTCTTACAGGGGCCTAGCCTCCCTTTCCTCAGCTCAGCCCTGGAAAAGGGACATTTGGGCTGCTCTAGTGCCCCCCAGGCTTCTAACCTGAGCCACTGCAGGCATGTGCCTGCATTTCTTCAGTCCAGAGAGAATGCCTATGTGGTTGCAAACCGGTTCGACCTAGGCAGGTTAGACTGAATCAATTCAAAGATCGAATCAGTTCAAGCTCAGGCTTTTTGAATGTCTGTCCCTAGCCTAACAGTTATGCCAGAGAACAGTCACTTGCAAGATCGTAGGCATGAATGCCGCGTGCCCCTGGAGGGTGGGGGGGCATGGCAAGCTCCCGCAGGTGGCAGCAGCACTGTCGGTGGCAGGAGCATGGTGGCAGCAAGCGGGGAGCTCCCACATGCGGCCACAGCGCTGTTGGTGGTGGGGGAGGACAGTGGTGAGCACCGACCAGTGGCAGCCAGCAGCGATCGTGCACCCGCGTGCAACCCCTACGCATCGCCAATGATCCTAGGTATGTGTTCAATACAAGCCTATAAATCAGATGATTTCTGGTAAATTAATAAGCTGCTGATTGGTTAAAGGCACTAACTTCTTGACCTGAGAAATACCATTCAAGGTAGGAGTTGACCTGAGAAGAACCTAGCATTACAATTAGTCAGCTACTTGTTTCTGAACTTAAAGAGGGGTATCCTAAGTAAACTCCATCCCTGTGCCAGCTATTAGCACCTGTCAAACTGGCAAATCCAGTTTGTTACATTTCAGGCTTTCCTTATATTAAACTAACACCTCAGCAAAGTCATACAACTGGACCCCATTCATGTTTACCAAGTAACCGTACAGATACCAAGAACAAATAATAGCACAGCTGGAATATAATTAAGGACTGAACGGCCGTAAACACTCTTCCAGCACATAAGAAAACTCCGCTGTCAGAGTATAGAAATGTATTTCAACATTACATAAATGTGTATTAACACTACCTGACTCTTCTCCCACCCCATATTGCACTAAACAGTTACTCACTAAGACTGTCAAAAAAATAAGACCCCAGCTCAGGACAGTCATAGGTTTCAGTGTCATCTGACTGTTGCACTGGCTTAACTTTTCACTTAAAAATAATGGCACTCAGTTATAAAATGACCTTATCTAAAGGACAAGGTTATTTATTCATGTTTGTAAACCAACACAATTCAGTAATGATTAAGGTTCTATGACAAATGAGAGAAGACTGGGTGCAGAAAGTAACATCAGAAGCTAATTTAATTCAACCCCCTACTCCATGCAGAATCATCTCTACCTAAACCATGCCAAAAAAGCATTGGTCTAACCTGTACTCAGATAAACCTTCTGAATGATGGAGTCTCAACAATCTTTCTGTGTTAAAGAAAAATTTAACATGGCTTTACAAAATGAAGTCTTGCCAACACTTCTTGGATCTTTTGCTTTGCTTTCTTTGTTTTTAAAACTCTTACAGCAAAAGGCCTTCCTTCGCACAGCAAATTCCCCTTGATGCCTGAGGAGTTCAGCGCACCAAAACTAGGACCCCTTTGGTAAGCACTATCATACTTACAGAAGGAGTCCTAGAAAATAACCTTGAATTGAATCACTACAAGTTGATTCAATCTAAATTAAATGGAAAAAGAAACAAAAGGCAACTCCTAACTGTAGTCTTCAATTTTCAAAGGATAAAGTTTGACAAATTACAGTCAACTGAACTGAGAAGCTCAGGGATTTGAATGTGGAGGAGGCCTAGGCTTTCATTAAGTTAAAGGTTGTAATACTATGAGGAATGCTGGGGAAACACTTAAGACAGGGCTCCCAACCCAAATGGATGAATAGTCGCTGCAAGAAGGATATTAAAAATAAGAAGAGTGCTTGCCAAAGAACAGCACAAAAGGACAGATTTGCAAAGAAAGCAGCGTCTTCCAGGTCAAGAAATGGAGAAATCAAGAGAGAACTGCCAGAAGTCCAGCTGAGTTAATCCTTACAGAGGAAATTAAAACATACTGAAAAAGGGTTTTCAGCCACGTAAATAAAAAGAAAACAAGGAAAGAGAGTGGAACACAGACCTGGAAGGGGCCTCCTAAGCAACTGAGTCCAGTTCCCTATATTTGCAGGCAATCATTTGCTCAAGAA